GTGTGTGTGTGTGTGTGTGTGTGTGTGTGTGTGTGTGTGTGTGTGTGTGTGTGTGTGTGTGTGTGTGTGTGTGCGCGCTTGTGTTTGGTGCTGAGGACGGGCATGCGTATGTTTGAGAATGTGTGTGTGTGTGATCCCTGCACCATTGTTACTAAGGATGATGTGGCGTGAGATTTCGTTGGTCGCAAAGTGCGCGCTTCGCACCCGCAGCATGCAGCAAGCGGCCGCCCGGCCGCGCCCTGTCATCTCTTCGCACACACACCTGGGCCCTTCTCGTCCAACACCATACCTACTCCCTGCACCCACGGCTCCCGCATCCAAATGCGCCGGCCCCCTGCCCCGCAGGTTCTGCAGCTGTGGGACTACCAAAAGAAGACCGGCGCGCGCGCCAGCCGCTGGAACGTGTGGCCCAGCGCCCTGGGGCTGGAGCCAGACTCGGGCTCCTGCAGCAGCGGCGCGGACGTGGGCGCGTTCACGGACGCGATGCCGCTGGCGGACACGACCGTCGGCAGGGCGGACACGGTCGCGCTGGAGGGGCTGTACAGGTGGGGTACTGACCGGACCGCCGCCACTGTGTTCGCGGAGCGGCAGGCACCGATGAAGCCGCATGCAGCGGCCTGAGGTGAAAGGCACCGCGCTGCTGCAGAGGGCCGCAGCCTATGCTGGACGCGTAAGAGATGCGTGCTTTCAATGTCGAATATTCTGCAAGCATGCACGCGGAGACAGAACATACGAGCAACAAGGCGCCTGTTTTGGCCCGCGCAACACGCCACAGGTGTCCCGGAAACCAGGCCAAACCCCTGAAGACGTGCAACATCTTCGCCGCCGACTTTGCCGACGACGGCATCATAGCCCCCTGCAACTCCACAGTCGTCCTCAGCGCGCAGGCCGCGCAGGCCGCCGGCAAGCCCGCCGCAGTCGGCGCCCTCGTCCGGTGGGTGCGGCTGCACCTCGCCGGCCCACCTCGCAGCAATCCCGCCGTGCCGCGCCTGTGTGCACACTGCCGCTCGCTCGAATTTTTGGTGCGCTTGTGGTCCTTGCAAGCTTCTCGAGTCACCAACCCGTCATCTGCCCTGCTGTTGGGCCCCAGCCCTTCTGCCTGCATACTTCCTTGACCCCTGCCAAACCCAAGTCAACTCTCAACTCCACTGATCCGCCACCCCAGTTACGACGACGGCCGCCAGACCCTGGGCTTCACCTTTGACTGCGCCGCCTGGAGCGCCGGCTGCAAGACCCTCGGGACCATCAGCGTGGCGTGGCTGATGAGCGCCGCAGGCGCGCCCGCTGCAGCCACGCCATCCCCGCAGCTGGCGGCGCTGGCGACGAATACGTCGCCGTCGCTTTCGCCGTCGCCGTCGCTGTCGCCATCGCTTTCGCCGTCCACGTCGCCGGCTGCCGTGGTGGTGACTCCCAGCCCTTCACCTTCGCAGTCGCCGCCGCCATCGCCATCGCCGTCGCTGTCGCCCGCCGCTGCAGCGGCGGTGGTGCCCAGCCCCTCACCATCGCCACTGCCGGTCGTGCCGCCTTCCCCCTCTCCTTCGCCTGCCAGCGCAGCTGTGGCAGCGGCGGCGACCGCGCCCCCGCCACCGCTTGCGAGCGCTTCGCCTTCCTTGCCGCTGTCCAACGCGACGACGCCGGCCCAGCTGGCACAACTGCCGCCGCCCGCCGCCGCCGCCGCCGCGCCCGCCCCCTCCGCGGGGCCGCCCCAGCCGTCCGCACCCACGCCGTCAGGGCTGGCAGTATCACCCGCGAGCCCCGGGCTCGCCGCACCCGGCGCGTCACCGTCCCCAGCGCCTGCGGCTGCATCGCCACAGCCGCCTCCGCCGGAAGGGCCTGGGCAGCTGGCAGATCAGCTGGACTCTGTGCCGGCCATCGGGGCGCAGGTGCCTCCCGCCCCTGACCCCTCGCCTGTTGCAGCAGTCTCCTCGCTACCGCAGCTGTCCCCCATCCCCTCTGCCAGCTCGCCTGTCCCGCGGCCGCTCCCCCCACCCCCTCCGCTGCCGGCGACGCCGGCGCCGCTGCTGCCGGCCCTGCCTGCGGGCCCCGTTTCTGCGGGGCCGTCCAGCCCAGGCGGCGGCAGTGGCAGCGGAGGCGGCTCGGCCGCGACCAAAGTTCCGGGACCTGGCCGGCCCAAGCTGGAAATCTATTACAAGTTCCCTCGCGAACCGGCCGCTGCGGGCGGCACGGCCGCGCGGCCGTCGGCGGCGCCGCCCGCGTCTGCGGTGCCGGGGGTGCCCGGCCGGGGTCGGGCATACGGTGGGTTGACGGAGCGTCGTGGTTGCAGCCTCGCTTTCTTCCCATCATTTGCATCCAGAGGGGGATGGACCTGCGACTGCGCTTGAACTCTACAGGGAGTGCTCGCTCTGCCACGAGAGCCACTGTCCTGCGCTGTCCCTGACATATGGGCACGCAGACGCCCGCCCACAGCCTGCCCTGCGGAACCCCTGCACCCTTGCTGGCCCCTCCCAGGATTCTATGGCCCCGTGCAGACCAGCCGGCAGCGGACCGGCAGCACTCCAGCCGGCGCCCAGCAGCAGCAGGGGCAGGTGCAGCCGCCGCAGCAGCAGCAGCCGCAGCAGCAGCAGCAGCAGCAGCAGCAGCAGCAGCAGCAGCAGCAGCAGGCTCTTGCTGCTCCCCAGGTTGTCAACCCCCTCTCCATCATGACCAACGCCGGGCAGCCCGTGCTGACGCCAGATGGACGACTCATCGTGACAAACGGTATGACGCCGGTCAAAGGCCCAGGCTCTGCAGGGGCCCTCTCTGCCGTGGGGCGTCGCCGCCGCACCAGCAGCTAACTGCGCGCCATGTATGCATGCTTGCACTCTCCCAGCCTCGGGCTGAGCCTTTTGACAACTTGAGGCGGCGCGACACGCTTGAGTGCGTGGCCGCATGCAGGGGTGTGTTGGCCGGTGATTTCACTCATCAGAACTGCATAAAGGTGGCCGCCAGCGCCAGGCCGCCACTTGACGAGCAGCCTCGTCCCAACATGAGCATGTGCTCTTGCCAGCAGGCTGGGCTGGCCCCCGCGTATGCCGGTGGGCAGCGCTGCCGCGCTGCACTATCCTGCTGGGCGCCTGCTGCGGCAGCAGCGGCCTGAGCAGCGGACTGGTAATGGTGCAGGGTGGCAGCCTGGCCTGGATGGCTTGTGGGCACAGGCCGCATGATGTTGGCGGTCGCCCCCGCTCCTGTATTGCAGCCCTGCTGACACTTCATCAACATGTGGCTGCTGCACTCGATGTTTTGTCCCTGATTCATGGCTGGGCAAGGTCACCCCTTCCTTTGTTTTGGGGTTTTGTAGCTCAGCTCCTCGCTTTGACCCCGATCCTCAGTCTTTGAGCCCATTGACAGCATTCATGTCATCCCATTGTCAACAGCCCCATCATCCTTGCCAACGCATCCCTCCCAGTGCCCTTGCGGCTCCACACCCCACCCAAGGCAAGCCTGGTAGCCCCCCGCAGTGCTGAATTCATGAACAGGAGGGGGTTTTGGACTGCACAGCTTGGTGCATTTGATGATGTTATGAGTTTTTCGGGAAGCTGTTACATTGAAATTGTTACACTGTAAGTCAATGTATCCTTGGTATCAATCACCCCGTGATGGTGATTGCACGGCGATGGCAGAGGGTTGCCTGCGGTGCACGAAGGCTGAGTTCAAAGAGGCGCACCTGCCATGCAGGCACAAGCCGAAAACGCGCTGCAGGGAGCACACAGCAGGGGCTTGAGGCACCCCCACGCAAGGGGTGGGGGGCGAGGCAGTATGCACAAAATGTTGGGTTTGACATCGGCGCTGCACCCGCCCCAACCTGGGGGCAGCCTGGGACAGCACAAAGGTGCGCTACTAGATGCTGCGTGAGGGCTGTGTGCATGCGCTTTTGCCGCCAGAAGCCTGCGAGCCTGAAGCCAACCCCCTGGAAAGCAGCGACCAAGCGGCGGCACCGTACATCACCACTCATCCTAGGTGTCACGTAAAGCCACCTCCCGGTCGCGCCCCTACACCACATAGAACAACACGTCACAAGACATCTGCAAATGATGGGCCGATCACAGCATCGAGCCCCCTGCCAGCGACCCGGCCTCCAGACGCATAGCGCAGGGGTGTCGCGCCACCAGTCAGCCTTGGCTGGCTGCCGCCGTCGGGCGCCGCGGCGAGCCCCTCACGCCTTGGTCGGCTTGGCTGGGCAGAGCGGCGAGTCCTTGCCTGTCTTGGCCCTGTAGGCGTCGCAGAGCGACCGCACAAAGTCCTCCTCCTTGTCACCGCCGGGGCAGTCGTACCTGGGCAACGGGCAGAGGTGGGGGAGCGCATGCCATGTCATTAGGGAAGCGGGGGGCCCCGACAGCATTGCGTTGGCTTGCATGTGTTGGGCGAAGGCAAGGCGGGTCCAATTGTCAGCGGCTCCCACGATTACGACGTCACGGACAGGACCCAGCAGATAGCTGCAGGCTGCAGGGCAGACGCTGCCTGCTGCAAACCAGCCCCCAGCCGCGGGAAGCGGCCGCGCCCGCCCCGGCTCACCAGCGCCCGCCGTCGCGGATGCAGCGCTTCTTGCCCGCGATCGCCACGGTGCAGCTGCGCTGCATGCCGCGGGAGGCGGTCACGCCCGCGCTCGCGGCCATGAGCGCGGCGCCCTCGGGCCCATCCATGCACGCCTCCATGGCCTGCCGCGGCGCACCCAGCACGCCGACCTGCGCGGGCCACGGCGGGGATTGCACGCGCGTCGCCCAGTGCGCGCACACGGGCTGGCACCACCAACAGATGGGCGTGGGTGCGATCCGGAGGGGAGCCATGGCAATCGCGGGCCACTAGGCCGCGCGGGGGCCTGGCATGTTTGCCTGCTGCGCGCGCGCGTGCAGGAGCGTGGAGTGCCGCGCGGGCGGACCCTCCACGCAAGCACCCTCCACGCACGCAACGCGAGCACGAGTCGCCCCAGCTTGATCCTTGACCACCCCTCCTCTGCCCCTGTACCCACAAACCCCTGACCCCCATCAAGACGGTAATGTGCCCCCCCGACGCCCCTGGATGACGCAGCGGCCCAGACAGCTGCCCCCATTTCCTGTCATTGTGGCCCCAACCCACCTTGTCAAGACACGCCTTGACGCCGGCCTTGCTGCTGGGGGAGTCGCCGCCGTCCCAGGTGCAGACCAGGAATTTCAAAAACCAGTCGCGGTTGTGCTCTGGCGGCGTGTGGCGCCCCACGCACAGCTGGTACTTGTTGCCGGTGCACTCGCTGTCACCGTGGGGGCAGGTGACGGCGCCGCCCGACGCATGCTGAATGTACCTGCGCGCGCCCGCACGCGTGCACACGGCGTTGGTGGCGCGCGCCGCCAGCCCATGACGTGGGCCCCGCCCAGCCTCTGCTCCCCTGTCATGCTCGTTGCTCAGCCTGAACACGCCCAGCACGATGCAAGCCGCGGCCGCCAACACCCAGCAGGAGGCCGGCAGGCACCTTTGTATGAGAGCCTGCACCGCACGCCCGGGCCGTCAAGCGTGTGGGGGCCGCGGCCGCCCGTGCTGCACATGCTCACTCTGTCTTGACGTGCACTATTGGGTGCAGCTTATCCAGCAGCTTGTCAAAGTAGTGCTCGCAAAAGTCCGCGTCGGGGCAGAGGCTCATCACAAACAGCTCCAGCAGCGCCTTGTCGCTGGGCGGACTGCCGCTGCCGCCGCTGCTGCCGTCCTTGCTGCTCGAGGCCGCCTTGTCACCCGCCGCTGTTGCTGGCTTGGCAGCCGCGGGCGCACCCGGCGCCGAGGGCTTGGCTGCCTGCGCCTTCGCTGCCGACGCTCCGGCCGGGGCCTCGTTGGTGGCTGCCGCCTGCTTGGCCTCCTTGGCCGCAGATGCCTTTGGCACGGGCTGCTGCTGCTTGTCGGCCTGCTTGGGCGTCAGCTTGCCGCTCTCCAGCTCAACGGCTGCTGTTGTGCTGGGGCTGTCCTTCCGGCTCAGGGCCAGCGCGCTGAGCCCCGGCCCTGAAATGTGTCCAGGAGGTTTGGGAACACAGGCGCCTCACATGCAAGCGGCATTGGAAGCCTTGGAAGCGGGGCACACAAGCCTTTGGGGTCGAAGCGCAAGGCCAGAGCATCGGCGTGAACGAATGAAGCGCCACCCCACCCCGCCGACGAGGCGCACCGTGCTGCAGCGGGGCTCCCGGCCAGTAAGCCAGCACGAATAGGACCGCAGCTACGGTGCCAAAGCAGAAGAGCCCCTGACGAGCCCTCTGCTTGCACCACTTCGGTGTCGTGCGCTCGGCGGGTCCACCTATGGGTGTGTACGTGTGCCGCGTCATGCCGCTATTGATTTCGAACTCTTCTTCCACGTGCCTGGAGCGCCCGCGCGCTCGCGGGGATTGCGAAGCCACTGTGGCCGATCTGGATGCTGCCGGCTTCGACAGTGCAGAACACCAATGAACGAGACTGAATGGTGGGCAAGTTCTGCTGCGCACTTGGGCCGCCGGCTGCCTTCAGTCATCTTTATGGCCAGCGTCACTACGGTGTGCCATCAGCATCCCTGGCCCACTGCAAGAAGCGCGCATCAGGCACGCCATCTGGCTTGCGGTTCATGCCACATGAACTGAGCAAGTCAAAGCTTTGTGTGGCGGCTGTTTGCGTGACGGCAAGCTTCTGGTTTATGATACCGTATGGCTGGCAGATGCTGACAAGGTCTGTTGCACATAAGATGCATCTGACTGCTGTTATGCACGACTGCAAGTGGTCGTGCATGCCGTAATGCTGGAGCTGGCACGCCACAGTCATTTTACAAGGAGCGCCGCATAAGTAATCGGCAAGCGGTCACGGGACCGGGGCCTGAATGCTGCGCCACCCGGCCACACATCCCACACGGCACACGAGTGACGGCGCCAAGTCAATGCACAAACCTCGTCACTTCTTCTTCAGGGCGCGGCACTGCGCCTTGTGGCTTGGCCAGTGCTCCTTTTGGCACTGCGTGCTACAGTAAGCAGCCGCCCCCCCGCACGACCCCGTGCAGCGGCGCAGCCGCGAGCCCGCCCCCGACGCGCCGCCGCACTGCGCGCACGCCTGCGGCGCCGCCGCCCCGTGGTCGTGGCCGCAGCTCCCGTGGCCGTGGCCACCGCAGTGGCTGTGATCGTGGTGATCATGGTGGTGGTGGTGGTGGTGGTGGCCGTGGTCATGGCCGTGGTGGTGGTGGTGGTGGTGGTGGCCGTGACCGTGGCCATAGTCGTGGTCGTGGCCGCAGCAGCCGCCGCCGTTTTGCGCGGCCATCTCCTCCAACCGCTTATCATACGTCCCCGGCGCCGCCTTCAGCACCTCCAGCGCCGCCGCGGCCGCCGCCCTCTCCTCCGCGTCCTCCGCCTTGTCCTTGATGAACCCCAGCCCCGCCTCCGCCTCCACGCCAGGCGTGTGGTCGCGGCCGGCTCCGCCCGCGGCGCTGACGCGCGACGTGTATTCGGCCTGCAGCGCCTTGTCTGCCCCGGCGAAGCCGGCCGCGACGACCGTGATCACGCGCGCTGCAGCGAAGGACGGCAGGGAGTTGCCCTGAGGGCTGTCCCCGACGGCTGCCGCCAGCTTCTCAAGGGCCCCGGGGTGCCGCGGCAGAGCGAAGAGGGCAGTGGGGACGCAGCACAGCATGTCCCCGAGCGCCTCGCTCGCGCCCCGCGCCGCGCGGCCGTCGGACTCGCCCGCGAGCGCGCCGAACAGCGCGTCGTACGCGGCGCCCTGCAGCGCGGCCTGCTGCTCGGGCGGCACCGCCGCGCGGCCGGCGTCGCCGGCGGAGAGCGCGCCCGTCAGCAGGTCGCAGCCGGCGGCCGCCGCTTCGACGCCGTCGATGCTGGCGCCCAGGGCCGGCAGCAGCTGGGTGATCGCCGGCAGCGCGCCTGCAGACGCGGCCGCGACGCTCCAAGCCGCGTCGTAGGGGTCCGGGTTGCGCACGCCGCCCATCGCATAGCCGCCCATCACCGCGCTCATGGAAGGGGGCGCAGCGGCGAGGCCCAGCAGGCGCGCGGCCGCGACGGCCTGCGCGCGGGTTGCGTCCGCACCGAGCGCGCCGGCGGCCGCGGGGCCCGCGTCCGCGCCGCCGGCGGCGCCCGGCCACGACCCTGCCACCTTGACGAGCGCTGCGGCCGCGCCGCCTCCCCCTGCTGACGCCGCCGCCGCCGCGAGGCTGATGCGCTTGCCAGCACGCCTTTCCTCGAGCGAGAGGGCCAACAGCACCTCTGCCGCTGCGCCCGTGGCCGCACCGGCTGTGGCGAGCAGCCGGGTAGCGGCGTGCGCGCGGTCTGCTGTCACGGCGCGGGCCCAGCGCTCTGCGAAACGCCGCACGGCTGTTTCCGTGGCCGCCTTGTCCTTGTGCTTCAACGCCTTGACCAGGTCTCTGCCATGGTGTGAGCCACGGCGACATGTCGGGACCGCCGCGGCGACACAGCTCGCACCCGTACTGGTGAGTGACTGGCAGGTTGCATCGCCGACGGCGCAGGCACACAGCATAGGCTGTGGGTTTGCTGTTGGAAGCAACCTCTGCAGGCCCCTCCCACCTTGTGACGCCCTCCATGTTTCTTAAGGACTTGGGGAAAGCGGGCTGTCGCACTCGGAGCACGATGGCTGCGGGCGGGCTCCTCCTCCGGCTTGAGATCTGGGAACGTAGCGACTCGCAGAACTAGAGGTGCATATGGAGAAACAGTCAGCGCCCTATGGGATGTATGCAGGCAACATCAGGGGAAGGACACCAGGCTCAGCGGCGCTGGGCACTGGCGAAGTGACGCGACCGCCATGATGTGCGCCCGGAACAACACTATGCATGGCAGCGCCCTCGCGCTAGTCATGACTCGTTCCTTGGAAATCACCATGTGTCTGAGAGGTGGCGTTGCCGTCAGGATGCTCTAGTTTGGTGTCCCGTGCGTGTGTACTTGAAAAACACCTGAATGCCCAAATCTATTGCCTGCAACGCCCCACCGCCCAGCTTCACGTCAGTACTGCATGCTTGCTCTTACCAGCGTGCTACAGGAGCCGCCTGCGCCTGCCCACTCACATACACATGCTCAGGAAAAGGCACGCAACGCACGTAATTATCACTCGCGGGCGGTGCCACCTCGCGACGGCTGCCAACGCCACACAACATCAATCTTTGTCATCCTGCCCACAGCATCTGCCCAATGCACACAAGTACCCGCTGATAAGTGACACGTTTAAGTTCCCTTGGTGGCAACAGGCTCCCACCATGCGCAGACTTGGCTCCATGCACGTTGTGCACTGCCGCTGTGGCGGGCCTCTCTGTGCTGCAGCCTTGCCTAGGCGGTCAACACCTCGCGCATGACGTGTCCAGCTCATCGTATGTGTAGAAACCCAAGTCCCTCCAGCAGTATGTGTTCTTATTACAACTGATGCCCTCACCAGCAGCGGTCAATAATGGGTCGAATTAAAATAATGCCAACGCCAGATGGCACATACAACCGTCAGAAAAACAAAATCGCACATACAAGCATGGCAAGAACTATGCCTGCAACACCAGGTACAGCCAGCCGCAGGTGGCCACGAGGTACTTGCCACACGATGGTGGCAAGAAAGAACTTGCTTGTCATCGTGTTGTTTAACGTGCAAGGTGCAGGGCAACTCCGGCCATGAGTCAAACACAACAGCCAGAAAAACAACCTGCCAAAAGGTGCGCTGTGCGACCAGCCCCACAGCAACGCCGCTGCATCAACAACGGTGTGGGCGCTTCTGCCCCCTTTCATTCTTTGCGCGATGTGGACACGTGAGCAGCATGAGGGCAGAGCGGCGAGTCCTTGCCTGTCTTGGCCCTGTAGGCGTCGCAGAGCGACCGCACAAAGTCCTCCTCCTTGTCACCGCCGGGGCAGTCGTACCTGGGCGGTCGACAGGGGGGAGTGCAGTGTGAGAAGGCCACTAGCATGGTGGCAGCGTCGACGTGACTTGCAAGGACAGCACCTATGCCCAGGACAGCAACGCTGCAGCCGTGGCATCCAACACGCACGCTTAGCCGCGCAGCACGGCACCGTGCGCCTGGGTCCCCGGGGCCCGGTGCCAGTGCTGCCCACCATCGCCCGCCGTCGCGTATGCAGCGCTTGGTGCCCTCGATCGCCACGGTGCAGCTGCGCTGCATGCCGCGCTTGGCCACGAGGCGAGCGTCCTGCAGCATGAGGCCGTCGCCCTCGGATCCCTCCAAACATGCATCCACGGCGCTGCTGACTTTCTTGTCCGCATCCACCTGCCGCAATCAAAGGGTGGTGAGTGGCCCGTTGGGGTGCAGCACAAGAGGGGACCGAGTGGGTCGGGACGGAGTGCGGATCTTGGCGGCAGCACGCGGAACTCAACAGCGCAGCCGCTCACTGCTGTGGCCGCCAGCAACGCGGGAAGCCCCCGGAGCCCGCAACAACGGGCAGCTCGCGGGCGCGTGCGACCGCCCGACCTTGTTGAGGCACTCGCTGACGATGCTGCGGCTGTAGACCATGGTGCGCGTCTCCCACGTGCACACCAGGAATCTCAAGAACCAGTCGCGGTTGCGCTCCGGCGGCGTGTGGCGCCCCACGCACAGCTGATACTTGTTGCCGGTGCACTCGCCGTCACCGTGCTTGCACTGAACCTTGCCGCCGCGCCCCTCAGCCTGGATGAAGCTGACAAGACAGTTTCAGGAAGAACAACAGAGGGGGCGGCAGCACATCATGTTGTGAGTGTGCGGCATGCGTGCATGGTATGGACGGGAAGCGGGTGCATGCGCTCTGCTGGCTTCCTGCGCCATTGCACACGCACCCACGCGGCTGCGTATGCGGTCAAGCAATGCGACCCCCTCTGCTCAGCAGCTGTGGGGCAACCTGTAAAATCAACTCCCCACAGTCAATCCACAGCGGGTCTCAGTCTCTCACTGCGCCTCGACATGCACGATGGGGTGGAACTTCTCCAGCAGCTTGTCGAAGTAGTGCTCGCAAAAGTTAGCATCAGGGCACATGCTCATGACAAACAGCTCCAGCAGCACTTTGTCGTCTGGCGGGCTCGGCTGCTGCGCCGCCACCGCCCCTTGCGCGGCTGTGCTCGCACCCGCTGCAGCCTGTTTGGTTTGCCCAGCGGTGTTGCTGCCTGGGAGCCCGTGTGCCCTCTGCCGCGAATCGCCGCGCTGAGGCAGCAGCACATGTGAGCTGGTGCCGTTGATGTGGGGTCCGGTTTCTCTTGGCCAGTAGGCGACCGAGTACAGTGCAGTCAGCCCAAGCACCGATAACCAGATTGTGGCTGGGATCATGGTGTTTGCGTGCCAGCGGCGAGCAGTGGATCATGTTGGTTGCTGAGCGCAGCATCGCAGCGCAGGCGGCGCACGCAGTGACAGGGCGACGACGCTCATCAAAATGCAGCACTGAAGGATCAGAAGCACAACCATATGATGAAAGTGGAGATCTGTGCACCTGGTCTGAAGCAGGGAACTGCGGCCTGCGCGTGGGTTCCCCTCATCGTCCAATGCTGCCCGATCGACACCTCCGGCTTCAAGCGTGTGTTGAACTGTTCATCATAAGTGTATCAGAGAAAATACTCTTGTCATAGCATATGTGAAAGCAAAGCATACGGTGAGGTTTCATAGGCCTCTCACGGGCGCCTCCCCCGCTACCCCTGGCTCAGGCTGGGCTTGGAGGCGCTAGTGCGCAGAGGCGCAGGTACAGGCCACCCGCGACACCCGTCATGAGCGCAGTGCCGAAAACTGTGGCTGAGGGCCTGTTTATGTGCTCCATCTCTTGGTGTCGAGAGGTCTGCATGGCGGAGGAGGAGGGGAAGGGTTGCATTAGTTGCGTGTTGGTTGGTGGTTAACATCAGGCGGCTGTTGGTTAACGTTGATTGAATATTGGTTAGAGAAGCTGTGAGCAGCCTAGAGCATTACAGTTGTAGTGTGACTTTGTGTCCGCAGGAAGGCGGAACGCGCGACTACAAGACCACCTGCCGGTCGTGACAGCCCAGGACGGGCAGCACGCACCGTTCGTGTACATACGGTACTGACCGCAGCCACCACCAGGCACATCCGGCACAAAAGCGTGTTGTATGATATGATATCACGCATACTCCAACGATAGGTGGAATTTAGGCAGCATTGCTGCCGGTTGCGGCAGCCTTCTTGCTGGACAGGAAGGCATCACACATGCGTCCAGCAGTGGGCGGCTTGCCAATTGGCCCTGGAGTGACCATGCTGAGAATGTGAGCGATTGGTGGCAGTTTGAGGGAAGCATATCAAAAGCAGGCCTTGCACGGTAGCCACAAGCTTGGTGGTAGCCCTTGTGACCCTTGTGTGCTTGGGTCGGTGCCCTGGTGCACACACTGCTGCTGGCAGCCGGCCACCCGTGGCCGGTGCTGCAGACGGCAGTCCACCCAGCTGCACCCTTATGTCAACCTGCTCAACAACCCACCCAGCCGTGGCCAATCGGCGTCGCTGCACCGGGTGCGGTCTTGGCAGTCCCCACCCCCCCCCCCCAAGCGCCTGAGAGGCAGCATGTGAGCGAAGTTTGACGTTGAAACCGCACAAAATGCGGTCTACAACACTTGGGATCGTAACAGGCACAGGCAAGGCCATAGCAGTATTCTGCGGTGGGTAAGTTCACAGCCTCACGCTGCCTGGAGAGAGACGGGAATAGCTGTGCGGCCCTGCGCTTCCACCCCTACCAGGTGCCTGTGCTCGGCATAACCTTGAATGCGGGCTGCAATTATTGGTCGAGTATGGTTGTCCCTTCAGAGCATCATCAAGTCAGCAGCTGGTCGTGTTTGTTTGGACAGTGTCAGTTCTGCTTTGTTTGAAAAAGAGGGTGTCATTACCTAAGGTGCTGATATGCAACCATTGTATGAGGTGCTTTGGCCCTAAAGCTGCTGGTGGTTTCAAACAGCAGCTGCACAGAAAGCCGCTTGGGAATAGGGTAGTAGTGTACAACGTTTTCGGTTTTGAGAGCTGTTTCGAGCTGTTTCGTGTGAGCAAAGTTGTCTTCGTAATATTTGATCACCAGTTCAAAGCATGTACTGGACACCCACAGTCCAGAATACTCCAAGATCAGGGCTTGCCTCTTCAGCAGATTGCACATGCCAGTTCATTCGTGGATTATTGCGTGCTCGTTACAAGCTTTTGTCACAAGTTGAGCTGTAGTAACTTGTGTTTGTTGTGTTGTGTTGTGTTGTGACGTGTTGTGTTGTGTGTATGCTCACATCGTTCAAACATACACGATCAAAACTGCGATATGACAACCTCGCAACCCCACCATAGGGCAAAAGGAGGGTGTTGGTCCATGTCAAGGCTTGTGCCTGGGCGGACGATGAAAATTGGCAGCAGAGTGACAAGCTACAGCTGCAGCTACAGCTACCAAAATTGTAGACATCGGGGGCACGTTGATGCGGTCCATGGATGCTGTGCATGGAGTACTGTCGCGCCCTCCGCTCCGTGCGCCTGAACAGCAGCATGCAAGCCAAGGGCGCAGCTATGCACTTGGAAAAAGAGCACTATAATGTTGGTGAGGGTAAGGAAGCACCAACAGGTCGCCATACGAGTGGCAAGAACCGATGCAAGCTGCCCCAAACAAGCATAAAATACACACGCGAGAGTGCGACGCACAAACTGCAGGAGCGTCGGGCACAAGCGAGCAGCCCAGGACCTGTCGCAGCGTGCCGACCACAAAAATCAACTGCGTCATGAGTACGAGGGTCCCTGGCGTGGGGCATCCGGCGGCAGGTGCTGCATTACGGGCCGGATCGCTGCGCGGGACGTGCGTACCAATCAAGCGGGGGTGCACACGAATAGGGACGTAAGAATCCCCGTCTCATAAAACCTAGAGAAATGTGTCCACGCACAAGGGCCGCTGGGGGAAGCCAGCCACACAGCTCCCCGCACGCTCAAGGCACCGCGGGCACTGGCAGCACCAGCGACGCGGCCGCCGCCGCGTGCGCGAACGCTGCGCGCACGCCGTCGTCAGCGCCGGCGGCCGCGCGCTGCAGGCCGGCGGCCAGGGCATCCCTGTATCCTTCATTGCCGGGGATGGCGCAGTAGAAGGCCTGCCACAGCGCGCAACCAACAACCTGGTCGATTGTGAACTTCCCGGCGGCTGCGAGCAGCAGAGGGCTCGGCCACACAGCATCCATCCATTGACACAGGAGCAGGCCGGCCGGCGCGGCGGCGGCAGCACCGGCGGCGGCCATAAGCGCGGTGCTGCGAAAGTTGTGGCTGTACGGCTGTTGACGGTCACGGTTCAGATACTGGGTCAGGAAATCTGCGCGGTTGTCGAGGAGGGTTGACGTGACTACATTAGACAAGGACTGAGTTAAACTCGGCAAGAGGCGCCGCCGATTTGCGCCACTCCCGCGCTGTGCTGGGCAGCGCAGGCTCCGGTGCGAGTCCGCTTTTGGGAACAATACCCCTGTGCATGGAAAACAAGGCACGCATGCTGCAGGATGCAGCGAGTGTTGTGCTGGCTTCCATGCAGAAAGCGCCGGGGCCGCAGCGCCTCGAGGGGGGGGGGGCGATCAGCCACGCCCTCGACCAGCGGGGACGGCTCACCTCCAAAAGCAAAGCCAAAGGCAGTGGGTATGGCCTTGGATATCAAGGGGTGTTGTGTTGTGATCGTCTGCACGGCCCTGTGGCTTTTGCGCACAGCCAGCCCTGCGCGAGTCCCTGCAGAGCGCCAGCTGAGGGCGCGAGCGCCAGCCATCAGTGACAAGCCTAGCCTTCTCTATCAGCTATGTGTTCGCTCGGCAACGTTGACTGTGCAATCCCGCAAGGGGCGATGTGCCAAGAATCAATCGCAGGGAGGGCCAGAGTGAGCGATCCGTTCGAGAAACGATTTGGGACGTATTACACGGACAGACAAGACTGTGATCGACCCACTACAAGGCGCCCTGGGTACTTACGTTGCGCTACATGGAAGAGTGGGAGTCGCCCAGTCGTGCACTCTGGGAAGTGTGGGCAAGGAACCGTGGTTCATGCCGCAGACCTGCCACCAGCACTCTCTGGCATGGTATGTCCCCGTCGCGACATCGTGTACCAACACATGACTCCTCCACCCTGTGCATCCCATGTGCAGAAGAGCTGACATGCGGCAGCATGCAGCGAGTTGAGGCATAGCCGGTTGAACGTAATCCCACGCAGGGTGACCAGTTTGTAACCTGCCGACTAGACCGGGGAAGGACACTTTGCCTTTAGTGACATGTTAATAGCCATGTGCAGGGACGGGCATGTCACCCAATGCCCTGCCAGTAACCTAGCTGCATGCGGGCTGCCTGCCCCTTTTTGTCCACAAGCACCTGGCTTGATTGGATGGGTGCAAGGAAGGTCGTGGCGCAGCACAGCTGCAGGATTGGACATCAGGGCAGACAAGCGCGCGGGCTTGCACCGCGCAAGAACACGCGCTCACAGTCGTGCGTGGTACGCCACGTCGTGTCGCCCGCTCCATGTTGTTTTGGTGCGAATGATTGTGATTCCTTGGCGCGTTTCATATATCTTCAGCCATAGGACGTAGGCGTATAGAGGTTGCCCATCACTGATGGTGGAGTTTATCATCAAGGTGGTGCCAGGCAGTTCCTGCAGCTTCTGAGCCTGACGCCCAGCATGCAGAAGAGAAGCGCTCCCGAGGTGTTGTTGCCCGTGTGGCGATCTGTACGGTATGATACAGATGCAAAAAACATTTCACAGCGACTTTCACGTATTGAGCTATCACCGTTGGGCCCAATACAGCGGCTGCATCGGTCAACGTCGCGAGAACGCGTTACAGGATCTACTCAAAGGGCGATCACGTTTCCTAATGGATTTGAGTCATAATTTTACGCGGTATGCGCGCCTCTGCACCTCTCAGCGGCTGTGGTGGCAGCAGCAGCAGCAGCAGCAGCGCGCGCCGCAGCGCGCGCACCGCTGCGGCAGTTCAACCCCGCGCGTGCTGGCGGCGTGGGTGACGTCCCTGATCGCTCTGGCTTTGTCAGCAGCTGTGCTTCCGGAGGCCGCCGCATCACCAGGTTCCGTTGCCGTGCAGTATTGCCCGGATGGAGGCAGCATGGAGACGGGGCTGTGCTATGCGCGCTGCCCCCTCGGCTCCGTCGGCGTCGGCTGCAGCTGCTGGCGCGACGGCCGCAGCACCTGGCGCGGCTGCGGCGTGCGGCCCCGCACCTGCCGCGCCCGCAGCTTCCGGCCGCCGGCGCTGCCGCCGGTGCCGGCGGCTGAGCGCGGGCGGCCGTTCACGCTGCTGCTCTCGGCTGACCCGCAGCTGTGGCGCAACTACACAAAGTATGACGACCGCGCCGGCGCGGAGCGCATCAACCGCCGCCTGGTCCGCTCCATCAACGCCGTGCGCGACCTGAAAGCCTGGCCCGCGGACGCGGGCGGCGGGGAGGTCGAGGAGCCGCGGTCCATGGTGGTGCTGGGGGACCTCACAGAGTTCTACATGGAGCGGCAGG